AATACAGACTAAAATGCATTTCATTATCATTTAGGAAGAAGTTGAATTTAAAAATTTCCAAACAAGTTTGCCTGTGTATTATTGTTTTAAAACTACATTTAATTTCCATATCTGGAAGAAGCATGAAATAAGAATAATCCTCTCATAACAAATAATATTAACCTCTGAATTTCATGGAACAGAATCATATATATAGAAGATACTAGTAAAGTATTTGAAACTATCTAACAAGTATTCCTAACAAAACCAAGGATTTGTTGGCTTTAAAAAGATTTTTACCAGAAATTCGCAGGAATAAGGCACATATAAAGCTCTGCCTTCATGACCTCAGTAGATTCTCAAAAGTTAATTTAAAAGTATTTTTTAAATATCTTATGACACATTGATGAGATTTTTCTAATTTCCACAAGAACAGGTACATTCTTCTTTTGAGCTAGGGTTTGATTTATTTTCTTGGTTTTGTCCAGATCATTTCACGCTTCATTGTACGGTGAAACATAAGTTAAAGTTCCTAATCTATGCACTATAGTACCAAAGACTCAATTTGTTATGAACACTTCACCAATGTATTTCAAATTGTGCTAACCCACTAGCAGCTTATAGCTATAAGCATTGTATTTTATGATTTGGAAAGGACAGTTTTAAATGACTTGCAGTAGTGATCTTTTATTTAAATAGCACATTCCTCTGCCTTAAGTCCCCATAAATAACAAGCACATGATGCAATGTATAATATGTAATAATTGAATATGTGATATTCACAGATTGCTGCCATGTGTTCTTTTAGCTTTCTGTCACCCTCCCTGTAAGAATGGTGGCCACTGCGTGAGAAATAATGTGTGCGTCTGTCGTGAAGGATACACTGGCAGGAGATGCCAAAGAAGTAAGATACCACTAAATGTATTTGCCAACTACAGGGAAAGCAGACACAAAACTGTTGCTGTTTAAGGGCTGATCTTTCATGTTTTTACCTTAAGGCATCTGTGATCCTATGTGCATGAATGGAGGAAAATGTGTGGGACCAAACATTTGCTCTTGTCCTTCCGCTTGGAATGGGAAACGATGCAACACACGTAAGAGGAATATTCTTATTAACAAAATGCTAAAGCTTACATCCTTCATGGGAACATAAAGCAGCATTTAAAAGAGCATTTTTCTTGTTTTTGCTTG